TTTGCATTCCAAAAATCTGATTGAGGTTCAAATTTTGAAACACTAATCAAAAGTAGTGACTTTAAATGTTCGTTGGATAAATTTGCCCTGTGCGACCCCATATGGGGTCATTCATACCGCTGACTTTATTTTTGCGACCCCATATGGGGTCTTTAGTCATTTAAAGGTTAATGTGAATGATTGAACTGTATTTGCATTCCAAAAATCTGATTGAGGTTCAAATTTTGAAACACTAATCACAAGTAGTGACTTTAAATGTTCGTTGGATAAATTTGCCCTGTATTTCGACTTGATGTACTTCATCTGGGAAAAGGTTTGTTCACACAGATACGTCGTCCCAAAAATGGAGATAAATTTACAAGCAAATTTCTTTAAATTTGGAAATTGCTCAGAGTTCAGAAATTTATAAAATTCTATCAAATTTCCTTCCTTGTATTTGTCTTTAATATGATAATTTTCCTGAAGTTCAATAATTTCCATTTGAATTTGACTTGGGAAATCTGCAACATCACAGTCAAACGGATTTTGAAACAATCTAATTTCCTGAATCCAAATCAGTAAATCGCTTCCAAAATTGTTCTTTCAAATCTGAAATGACAAAATTTGCAAACGAGGAAGGAAATTCTGCTTCACCCTTTTTATGCAACTCTGCACAGTATACCATATGAACAAAGTTACAACTTCTCACTTGGCTTTCCAGAAGTATGAACTTTGCTCTGAATGCCTTGATAAGTGCAAATAAATCACAGACTAAGTTATTTTCACATTGCAACTTTAAATTCAAATGGTTCATATGGTTCACCAGAGCAGAAAAAAAATGCTAATTTCCAAAGCCACTCGGTATCTGATAAAAGTGGTCCGTCATCGCCTTACCCTATTTTATGATGTTTTGTCAGCACTTCCGCGAAACAAAGGGGAAGGACAGGCCAGGATCACAGTCTGTTATTGTATACTATGGCCTATGTAGAGAGCGCTTAGGAGAAAGACACAGAACACTTTGCTTCCATATTATTCACATTTCAGAAACCATATGAAGAAAAATTCCCTAAAATGGCCAAAAATGTCAAGATATACCCTTAAAAGGCCAAAAATGTACCAAAAAACTACCCAAAATATACCTATAAAATTTGCATTTCTGTAACCAGCAGCTCGTAGTCGAGATTCATATATTTAACAGCATCACATAGAATACAAAGAAAAAAAAGATGACATATCATCAAAATCCAGGCCCTCATAATTACAGACCTTTCTGATTTTTAAAACATCTCAAAATTCAAATTCCTACAAGTTGTGCACACCTTGAAAATAGTGTGCAATGCGACATTTATTATTTTTTTTTCAATTTCAGGAACATCCCAATTCTCGCCATATTTCACGAGTTTCATCTTATTTTATACATTCCACATAACAAACTTCTGAAATATTTATTTACTTTGACAATAGCTGTAACTATCAAAATTCTGATGCATTTGATAATTTTATAAATATCGAAAATTTGCGAATTTCTCTCAACTTTCACCAGCTTCAAATTTTTGTAGCAACGTGTACATTGAAAATACTGTAACTATCAAGAGTTTTAGAATTCTCAGAATGTTTTAATACATAATAATTGTAAATAACTGCAATTACCTGGTTCTCTTACAGTCTATGAATGTTCTAAGACTTGAATGTGTCGTGAATTTCGTTAGCCGTCTCCCTCAAATTTTAGTTAAATTTCGAATCTGACATCTTGAACGTTTTCCACAATTATCATCTCTTCCAAATTCTACGTTCCTCACACTAACTCCTTTGACCTGAGCCCTTCTGGAGGAGCCGCCAATTCTGCAACTACTAAAGAATTTCCCAGCATTTTATGGAACCCGAAGGTTGATTACCGTGTTCAGAAGAGTCGTCCACTGGCCCTTATCCTGAGCAAGATCAATCCAATCCATACCATCCATCCTATCTCTCTAAGATCCATTTTAATATTGTCCACCCACCTGTGCCTTGGTCTTTCCAGTGGTCTCTTTCCTTCTGGCTTTCCCACCAACATCCTATATGCATTACTCGTATCCATCATTCATCCTACATACCTTTCCCACCCCATCCTCCTTGACTTTATCATTCTAATTACACTTGGAGAAGAGTACAGGTTATGAAGCTCCTCATTATGCAGCTTTCTCCAACCTCCTGTCACTTCATCTCTCTTCGGTCCAAATATTCTCAACATCCTGTTCTCAAACACCCTCAGTCTATGTTCCTCCCTTAATGTCAGAGACCAAGTTTCACACCCAGAGGCAAAATTATAGTTTTGTATATTCTCATTTTTATGTTCTTGAACAGCAGACGAGAAGACAAAAGGTTCTGGACTGAATGGTAGCAAGCATTACCCAAGTTCAATCTCCTCTTAATTTCTTCCTGAATCAGGTTTCGATCAGTTATCGTTGATCCCAAATATCTTAACTGTGCCACATTTTCAAAACATCTGTTTCCTAACTTTATGTCATGATTTTGCCCTGCATTTTGGTGACGAGACAGCAACATATATGTAGTTTCTCTGTGTTTACTTCTAGACCGACCTCTTTACTAACTGCGTAGCTACTCAAGAATTTCCCAACACTTTATGGGACCGGAATGTTCATTACAGTGTTCACAAGAGCCCTCCTCTGAGCCACTACAACCCAGTATTTGCCACCCAACTGTATCTCCCTATGATCTGTCTTAATATCATCCTCCCACGCACATCTATGTCAACATCGTCCTAGCAGTCTCCTTCCTTCATTCTAGCTTTCCTATCAAAATCCTATATGCATCCCTCCCTTCTGCCATGCTTGCTACATTCCCTGCCCATGTCACTTCTTATCACTCCATCCCTCCTCACATCAAATATTCTTCTTATTAACCTCATACCATGCTCCCCCCTTAATGCCAGACACCAAGCTTCACACTCATACAGAGCCACGGGCAAAATCGTAGTTTTATATATTCTAAATTTTACATTTCCAGAGAGCAACCAAAAAGACAGAAGGTTTTGGAAAGACTGGTAGCAATCACTGCCCAAATTCAATGTCCTCTTAATTTCCTTCTCAATTAAAGTTTCCTTTGTTACCATCCTTCCCAAATATTTCAACTGTTTCACATTTTGAAAGGATCTGTCACCTATCACCATGTCATAACCCTGCCCTGCATTTTGGCAATGAGACAGTAACTTATACAAGTACTGGCTTCTCACTGTTTTACTTCCAGACCAACCTCCTTACTGCTATCAATTAGGGCTTCTGCGTTTTTCTTTATGGTAACTATGCTATCTTCCAACAGATTCACATCATCATCACAGGCCAGCAGCTTACGTGCCTCATTAATTTCAGCCCTATCTGGTTTTCATGCATCTTCCTAATGGCATACTATAAAACAAAGTTGAAAGGCAATGAGGGTAAAGCTACTCCTTCTTCTAGACCATTTCGGACAGAAAACGCATCAGACAAATGTTTACCTATATCAGCTTTACTATATGTTTCATTTAAACACATCTTCATCAGCATAAACAGTATTGTGGGTTCCCCAAAATCTATGGGAATACCGTACAAATATTACACACATCACAATACAGTTTTCCACACATTTCAGTGTATAAGTGATTTTATGACATGAAATGATTTTCAAAAGTTCCAGATATTAAATATCAATATTCTTACAATGCAGGAATTTGCCATCACCAACGAAACACAAACCAACCCTAATCATACATTACTGTAATACTACAAATGACCATGAACCCTACTCGCTCACTCACTCACTCACTCACTGTTCACAACAACACTAAAAATCATTAATAATGATATAAAAACCAGCACCTCAAGCTGCATGAGCTGCCAACCTTATGATACTAAAATTCACTTACCTTCACATTGAGATTAACATTATAATTTACAATAAACAAATTCACGTAGTGTGAACCTTCCAAACACATTAATATCATTTGACTGAAGTAGTATTGTGAGCGTTATGAATGTGAAACACTCATATTCACAAAGAGGCTGACGTTGATGTTAACAAGCGAACAACTGAGGCAGAATCAATTGTACATGCTATCATGCTTATAGCAAGAATGTATGTGAAGCCACATCCATTCTGTTACATTGAACACTGTGATTCATGCACCAAAGTTCTGGATACTATAAAACTACTACTTCGATTTTATAAGAGGGTCCTTAGAGCTCTTATGTTAGAAGAATTAAGTACAATGCAACTCAAATGCGCGAAGCTAAGAGTGTGAAACCACCACACCATTTACACTTGGTTGACAGACATTAATATTTCATTCATCAATATACCAAACTCCATGGGGTCACATATTTATTTCCTACTCATCACAAGTGCAACAAATTTATCAGGAAGATACGTATTTAAACCTAAGAAGGATCACATCTCAGCAATTCAGGACACTGACCTAGCTATAAATATATCACCCAGAATTTCTGACATGGCGAACTATAAGACACTTCTGTAGCCTCACATGTAGGAAGGATGGCAGGGCACATGACGTTCATACCAAATTCTATGTGGAGAATCCTCCTGGGAAGTGGATCCTTGCAAGATGGAACACCTCATGGCAGAATAAAATTAAAACAGGAAATGTCAATAAGCAGAGTTTTGGATCACAGGTGGATTCAACTGGCTACACATCATATCCAACGACCATCTCCATGACAATGACCTTCAACCGTCACATTCTGCTGCCAGAGCACTGCTTCTTAACATTCAATCAGTCACCCAAAGGCTTTGCTAAGGTTTATGATGACAGCAAACAGTCATCAAGTCTCTAATAAAAACATCAACCTCAGGACAACTGCATTCACAGATGTTATGTATAAGCACATACAATCTTTTAAAGCAATATAATCTGCACACTAGTAGAACTGAATGGGAATTCTAGGCAATGTCACGAGTGCATTTCCAGTAATATTAAGGGATGACACTAATATCTGATGCCCAAGTAAATTTCATTACTTGTGCATAGCTGTGGGATGACAAGATGCTCAATGACATGCTTCACATCTTAAACAAATAACACTTCATAAACATTAAGAGAATTCGGGAAAATAATCACGAAGAGGGTAATCCATCCAACATACTCCAGTTAACCTCACATATCAACTTGCCACTGAATACTTACTGTGTTCCTCTCACTAGAATAATCTGCATAACCAGCATCAAACTCGAATCAAGTCTAAAGATAACTGGTCCAACTTTACACACTCCTTGTAACAGTCATCACCCTGTGAAATGTGTGACATGAGAAACACAGCTGTACACCCTACATGTTTCATTAACTGGGCACAACTAATACTACTACAATTAGTACCAGTGGATTCATGGGAAATTGGTTTACATGGCATGAATACCATGCCACAGAAGCCCTCAAGAACGTAATTTTTATTTTCCTACAATAACCTAAAGTACGCGGTAGTGTAGTTGACTGAGGCAATGTGCTACAAGCTGGAAGGCTGCAGGTTTCATTCCTGACGAGGTGGACTTTTCCAATTTGCCTAATTCGTCCAGCTGCATTATGGCCCTGGGGTCGATGCAGCCTCTAATTGAAATGAGTACCAGGAATCTTCCTGGGGGTAATGGGCGGCCCACGAATAAGACTGACAACCTTATCGCCATCTGTGGGCCGACTGTCTAGAAGAAGTGGGAGCGTCAACCTCTCACGACCCTACGGGCCTCCAAAGCCAGTTGAAGTGATAATTTATGATAACCTAATATACTATGGTGGGGAGACAACACATGTCACACTGGATTCATTAATCACATCACTGTGCATTCGGGGAGGAAACCACATGGTTCAGTTACCTTACTTATGCTGTAATAACTGGGGCATAATAACAATGACCACCACACTGCAGGGTCATGCTTTTGGAAATCTTCCTTCAAATTATTAAACATTTTGCACACATTCAACATTTCAAAATTCCAAAGGACCTAAAACTTTCAGAACTGTATAATTCACAGTGCTTAGTATTCCCGAAGACTGGCCTCTTTACATCTAGTAAGTACACTATACTTCTATGGAACTGCACATAATCTTGGAGTTAAATTCATACTCTTCCACACACACACACACACACATACTGCCGTCTTTTCCTGAGAGATGAACACATGGTCTTGACCACACTTCATTTTTGTCTCTTTAAATAATTTACCACATTAAGTCTCCAGTCATGTACAACACAAATAGTTATTTCATTCTTAACTACAGATCAGAGTGCCAGTGTATGAATGGTACTCACATATTCGGATCTATAATGTTATCTGAGAAGATGTGGATTCTTTTGAACAGCTGGTGCACACCACATACTTGGAACTAAATCCACTCCTCCTTCCTGCACCCACTGAAACACACATTGTGCACATCATTAAAGACTTGACAGGAACTTATTAAAGGTGAGCAGATGGCTAGTAATAATCTGGACATGACCCTCACTATGCATACACATTTTACTTGCCTCGAAGCTGCCTGCGAATAGCAGATCGGTTGTCTGTCCATTTCGGTGCCTACATTCTTCATTTAAAGGAGCAGGTAATTTCAGTCTGCACTCGAGGCATTCTCTTCAGTTGAAGCATCGCCTCAATGCGCATTCTGGCACAGCTTGGTTATATCAAGTGGTTTAGGTTAGATTAACTGGTGCATCACATCACCTCATATCCAAACGCGATTCTATGTTTTCACATATCTCACATATCTAAGTATTTCTAATACTTATAAACCCTCACACTCCCAAAAACCTCCAACCTCCCACATTTTACGCAACATCCCCATATTCAAAACTGCATCCTATACAACCTTTGACATTCCTCATGACTATCCAAATTTTAAGATGCAGACCATTCCAATGTACAATCTCACAATTTTCTATGATTTATCAACGGATGCACCACTGCGGAGGGGCTGGTAGATCCAGCATACCTGTGGTGGGTCATGGTTGGGAGCGCCTGGTCTCTGAGGCTGATAGGTTCTGTCCAGCAAGGAAGGCATGTCCGGATGTGCTAGACGGAAACTGAAGAAGTCTAAGGCTAAGGCAGTAGAAGCAGACACTGGGGGCATTCAGCAATCAGGAACTGCAATTGCATCAGAGAGAGACCCTCGGCCGAAACCCCTAAGAGGCCAAGGTTAGATGGGAATACCCCCACGGATGTGCACAGACCTAATAAAATGCCCAGGGACACTAGTGAACCAGGGAATTACAGGGAGGCGATAACCCACATAAGGTTAGCTATCTTCAAGGAAACGTATCCTGAAGATAAGCTAACAGAGGGAGACCAGGACTCCATTCTAGAGGAACTGGAACACGCGTTATGTAGGACTCCTTTGGGAGAACTACCACGCCTGAAATCATACAGACTGGAGGGAGGTGCATTAATATATACATGTGCCGACCAACAGTATGGATAGTGGCTCGTTAGAACCATAGATAATCACAGACTAAAATCAGGGGCTAGGCTGAAGATTACTGACGCCAAGAACCTGCCCAAACCTGTGAAGGTGGCTCTCAGGACGAAGGACAAAGTTGCCCAAAATCCTGCAGAGCTGCTGAAATGGATCAGGAATCTTAATCCAGGACTCCAAACTGAGAGTTGGAGGATACTGGACAGGAAATCTGAACCGAAATGGCAAAGACTGATCCTTCTTATAAACCGGGATTCCCTATCTGTTATCAAAGGACCTGGATATAAGGTACATGCAGGACTCTCACAGGCAACTGTTAGGGTCCTGCAAGATCCTGAGGCACAGCGGCATAAAGAAGTTGTTGTGCCCAGTTCAATACCCTCGGAATCAGCCTCTGAGGGGGAGGGGGATGATGTACCCACTCCCTCAGTTGACCAAAAAAAAGAGTATCTGACAAGAAGGAGACAATCCCTCCTCTAGTGAACCCGACCTTACCAGATCAGGGACCTCCCTTGGAGGAAACCAGGTCCGAAAGAAGAAAAGGGGCTGTGGAAGGTGTGGCGGACACCTTTCCCAGCATTACAGAATGAACACATAACACAAATACATACGTACACATACATACATACACACATGACACATACACCACAGCAAGGCTGCTACGGCAATCTTATGTTGATAACTTGCCGAGGGAAAAGTAGACGTAGCACTTATTCTGGAACCTTGGATATATAGGGGCCAAAAAAGGGGCTTAGCAAATTCAGGGGGAGAAGTCTATTCTGTCATACCTGAAGAAAATATGAGATCATGCATATATGTTAATAATCATATTAATGCTTTAACTTTGCTGGAGTTCTGTTCCAGAGACACAACAACGGTGAGGATGACATACACATTGGGCGGAAGCTGTGAGGAGCTCATCGTCACTTCAGCTTACCTTTCATACGACTCGGATGCACCACCTCCTTCCAAAGAAGTGATGGACATCGTTGAATATTGCCATCTTAGGAAAAAGCAGCTCATTTGGTTTGATGCCAACGCACACCACACATTGTGGGGGAGCACTGACATCAACCCAAGATGATGCCTCATGGAATATTTGGCGAGTTCGAACCTTAATATTCTAAACCAAGGTAACGAGCTTACCTTTGCAGTTTGCAACAGACAGGAGGTTATCGACTTGACACTAGGGACCAATAAAATATGAAACCTGATAAGTAATTGGCATGTATCTGATGAGCTGTCCTTATCAGATCTCAGATATATATGCTTTCAAATAAGCAACATTACAGTAGATCAAGCTACTTATATGAATCCTAAGAGAACCAATTGGGAGTTTTACAAAGATGATCTAAAAGTAAATCTGGAGATCATCTCACAAAATATACGCACAATAAAGGATGTTGATCGGTCCGTTGACCAGTTGCAATGGGCTATTATCTCGTCCTCTAATTGAAATTGTCAGCCTAGGGCCACTCACGAACCAAGGAGAGCACCTTGGTGGAATAAACAACTGAGTGGGCTTAGAACCAGAACGAGAAGGTTGTTTAATACAGCTAAAAGGACAGGGCAGTGGGACACTTACAAGGAATCCCTTACCTGTTACAACAAAGAAATAAGGTAAGCCAAAGTGATCCTCATGGGGGAGGCACTGCCAGGAGATCAGTGACACTTGTATACCAGGTGGTGCCAGACTCATGAGGATCATGGCAAAACAGGCGACCAATAAGGTCAGCACGATTAAGCTGCCTAACGGGCAGTATACTCAAAAAGGAAGGGAGACACTGAATGAATTATTCAGGGTTCACTTTCCTGATTCAAAGCTGATTGATAATTTGGACGATGGACAGGATCAGCAAAACCTGGGCACTTGCCAAAGCAGGATCAACAGGGCAGACTGGAACCTGGCCAAAGTCATAATAAATTACCAATCAAAAATCAGATGGGCACTGAATACCTCCAACATTGTCCACAACTTTTATCTCTTCCGAAAACCAATCCACGTTCTTCACACTAACTACTCCTTGAAAAGCTGCTAGCTGCACAGCTACTCAAGAATTTCCCAACATTTTATGCGACCAGAACGTTCATTACAGTGTTCACAAGAGACCTCCACTGAGCGACCACAACCACTATATACAACACTGTATCTCCCTATGATCTGTCTTAATTTTTATCTTTCCACCTACTTATACGTCTACATCTACATATTAAAAGGGTCTCCTTCCTTCATTCTGGCTTTCTCAACAAAATTCTATATGCATTCTTGCTTTCTGCCATACATGCTATATTCCCTGTCCATCTCACCTTCCACACCATCATTCTACTTACACTTGGCGAGGAGTACAAGTTACAAAGTTCCTCATCATGCAGTTTTCTCTATCCTCTTAGCACTACATCCCTTTTCAGATCAAATATTCTTCTTAACAACCTCACACCATGCCCCCCCTTAAGGTCAGACACAAAGCTACGCACACATACAGAACCATGGGCAAAATTATAGTTGTCTATATTCTATATTTTACATTTCCAGAGAGCAGACAAAAAGAAAGAAGGTTCTGGAAATTTTCTTCTTCTTCTTCTTCTGTGTGTGTGTGTGTGTGTGTATTAAAGATAAGCAGTGACACACAGAGAGCCTACACAGAACAGTACCTGAACAGCGATAAAACAAGAAGTGGCCGCTGCAGCACTATAGACATAGGGCGTGTACCCCAAGAAAATTTTTAAAAATTTGGAAAAAGAGAAAGAACAGAAAATTTACAGACATTTTAATTTGAATTGAAGTTTTAAAAAAGTGCCAATTTTAGAAATCAAATTGACGTGTGTCGGTTAACAAAGATTTTATACATACATACAATTGGAAAGACTGGTGATTTTAAATTTTAAACTACGGGCAGTGTAGCAGCTATGTAAGAATACACACCTGTTGATGGCCATTTAGTGCCGAAACATGTAGTGTAGAGGAAGGGAAGAAGAAAGAACTACAAATAAATTGTTGCACTTAAGACGGAATTTGTCTCATATATATTGTGTGAGTGTAACAGGATGAGTAAATATAATAAAGATAATAATATTTGACGCGTACCTCTATTTACATTTATTATGTCCCGTCTGTTAGGAAGGCTGATTGAAAATTATATCATGGTAAATTGTCGAAAATTCAGTACTACTGTACTGAAATATATAGTGTGCAATTCAATAGCTTTGGAATGTGTTAATTATGTATTTGCTTGATGATGGCTTTCTAAAAACCCAAAACATGTAGGAAAGTACTGTTAAATGTCAATGGATTTGTTGTGTTGTTGTGATGGATTTTAATAAAGACATGTATATAGAATGAATGTGGAAAAAACAAAAGTAATGAAAATTTCGAGACAACCAACCCCAGTCACAATAAAGAAAGACCAAAAACATATGGAGAATGTCAAATGTTTTAAATATTTGGGTAGCTTGTTAACAGATAATGGAAGGTGTACTTGTGAAATTAAATCTAGGATTGCCATGGCAAAAGCTGCATTTAGCAAGAAGAAGAATCTTTTCACCAGAAAATTGGACTTAAATTTGAGAAAGAAACTAGTGAATTGCTACATTTGGAGCATGGCTTTGTATGGGGCTGAAACTTGGATACTTAGGGCAGTAGATAACAAACACCTGGAAAGCTTCGAAATGTGGTGTTGGAAAAGGATGGAGAAGATCAGTTGGACCGATTATGTGAGAAATGAAGAAGTGTTATTTAGAGTCAGTGTGCAGAGGAATATCCTACATGAAATAAGAAAATGGAAGGCTAACTGGATTTGTCATATGTTACGCAGTAACCGCTTCCTAAAAGAAGTTATTGAGGGAAAGACAGAGGGCCGGATAGAAGTGACCAGAAGACGAGGAAGAAGACGTAAGAAGATGCTGGATGACCTTGGGGACAGAAGAGGATATTCTCATTTGAAGGAGAAAGCTCTAGATCGCATTAAGTGGAGGAACTGTTTTGGAAGAGACAGTGGACCTGTCATCTTGACAGATTACTGATGAATGAATGAATGTATATAGTTAACACAACAGGATTCATCCATTGGAAATTAACATTATAATTTACAATAAACAAACTCACATACTGTGAATCTCATCAATCACATTAATATCATATAACTGAAGTAGTATGGTGAGCCTCATGAATGTGAAACACTCATATTCACAAAGAGCCTGACATTGATGTCAATAATAAAACAACTGAAGTGGAATCAATTCTACAACTTATCACACTTAGGGCAAGAATGTATGTGAGGCCACATCCTTAATGTTACATGGAACTACTAGACTATACTACTTTGACTTCTCTAATAGGGTCCTTAGAGCTCTTATGATAAAAAGAATTACGTGCAATGCAACTCAAACACCTGAAGCTAACAGTATGAAACCACCATGCTCCATGACAGAAACCATTCTAACTTGGTTAACAGACATTTCTCATTCATCACAACACCTAACTAACGCCATGGTGTCACATATTTATTACCTACTCATCACAAGACAAACAATATTATCAGGAAGATATTGAAACCTAAGAAGGATCACATCTCAGCAATTCAGGACACTGACCTAACTATAAATATATCACCCAGAATTTCTGACACTTCAGTAGGCTCGCAAGTAGGAAGCATTACAGGGTATATAACATTCACACCAAATTTTCTGTGGAGAATCCTCCTGGGAAGTGGATCCTTGCAAGATGGTACACCTCATGGCAGAATAACATTAAAACAGGAAGTATCAATAAGCAGATATTTGAATCACAGGCTGAATTCAACTGGCTATACATCACATCCAACGAATATCTCAGTGACAGTGATTTTCAACCTTCACTTTCTGCTGCCACAGCACGGTTTCTTAAAATTCAATCAGTCACGTAATACCTTTGATAAGGTTTAGGACCACGACAAGCAATAATCAGGTCTCTAATATAAACAAAAACTGAGGACAACTGCATTCATAGATGTTATGTATAAGCACACATAATCATTAAGAACAATATAATCTGCACACTAGTAGAACAGAATGGAAATACTAGGCAATGATATGAGTGCATTTCCAGTAATATCAAGGGACAGTATTAACACATTGCGGACCGGTGGTTTAAACATTTAAATCACCCTGGGGACCGGCATTTTTAAACCTACTACCCTAACTTGTGCACTGTTTACTTTAAAAATTAATATAAAATCTCCTAATTAAATTTATGAACTGAAATTTTTGGAGAACACTTACCAGAGCTCCTAGAAGTGCTTGCGCATGTGATATCTCTGGAAACATTCCCCTTTGTGAAGAGGCATTACGCAGAAGTTGCACATGTAGGCAGTTCTACTCTTCTTCTTGTGCTCTGCGCTCACACGGCACTGCCTAGAAGGGTGTTTCTTCTTGCAATATTCACTCTTCACAATTTTCATGAGAATATGTTTCCGCATATCACCCGAGAGTTGGCCAGGGGGGTCTACTTGAGGCCTCTGGCGGGTGCGAACAGATGGCCCCGGCTGCACTACGTCTGTGTCTGATGCAGGTACTGCCGCCACCGTGACGTCAGTAGCCCAAGCTTTTGTCAGTTTCAACAGAAATGCTTTGTATTTCAAAGTAGAATTTCTGTTCACCTTTTTGAAAACCGTAAATGAATTGAAAATTGCACAGTTTATAAGCCACAGTGCAACTTTCTTCGTCCATTTTACTGTTTTCCTAGGTAGGGAATTATAGGCCAAGAACTGGTCGGCCCTATCAACTTCTTTCATGAACATATTATACTCGGAAATACAAAGAGGCTTCTTTACTTGCCCGTGTCGTCTTTGAACATCGACCATGCTCGAATTGTGAACAGTGGAAACCATATTCACAATGCGAGTATCCCTCCAGGACTGAAGAAGAATGTCCCCCTTCCGTCAAAGAAACTATCTCCAAAAAACAGTGACGCAACTTCAGACACGTCCGTTGGGTCCGATGGCACCCCCGGATCACCAGTAAACTTTCCCAAAGTGGGGGTTTTGTCCACTTTATCCCATGTAGCTGTCCCGACACTCGCACTTTCAACGGAGCTCTCACGTTCACTTGACACATTTTGGGCAGCCCTGTGGCCCCCGTCACTGTCACTGTCACTGATAATGGCCTCGCTATCAGAAGACGAAGCAGTTGGCAAATCTGATAGCTCATTGGAGAACATATCTAATATTTCCTGTCCTCCGAGAGATCGCAACTGCTTTCGTCTCTGAGCCATGTTGAACTGGTAGCTGCGTGGTTCATACGTGCAAGCTTGGATTAGAACAAAGCCAATTTTGTTTAGGTTGTGACAGGAAATGACTCTGGTCGAGTTACTAGATAAGGCAGCAATCATTCCCGAGGTCATCTACACAGTAGTTATGATTCAACGAAGCCACACAGCGATATATAGCGTTTTGCAACATAACATGACCGTAGAGGGCCATATGGCCCGCCCAGTCCGCAACGCTTGGAAACGTAGAGGGCTATATGGCCTGTCCGGTCTGCAGTGTGTTAATATCTAATGTCTAAATTCATTCCATTAAACTAAATTTCATAATTACTTCTGCAAAGTTGTGGGATGATAAGATGATCAATGACATGCTTCATAAACATTCATCAAGAAGAGGGTAATCTGTCCAACATACTCCAGTTAACCACACATCTCAACCTGCCAATGAATACTTTCTTTGTTCCTCTCCCTAGAATAATCTACATAACCAGCATCAAACTCAATCAAGTCTAAAGAAATCCAGTCAAACTCTACACACTACTTGTAACTGTCATCGCCCTCCAAAATGTGCAACAACATAAGAAACACAAAAGTACAACCTACATGTATCACTAACAGGGAAGAAATAATAATAGTACAATAGTACCAGTGGATTCAAGGGAAACTCGTTTACATGGTATGAATACTATGTAACAAAAGCCCACATAAACATAACTTTTATTTTCCTACTATAACCTAATACAGCATAGTGTAGACAAAACTTGTCACATTGGGTTCGTGATTCACATCACTCTGCATTTGTGCAGGGAAGGGTCTGGTTCAGTTACCTGAGGTTATAACAACTGGGGCATAATATCAATGACCAAGACAGTGCAGGCTCATGCTGTCAGAAATATTTTGCACACGTCCAACTCTTCAAAATTCCCAGGGACCTAAAACTTAAAAAACTCTATACTTCACAGTGCTTAGAATTCCTGAAGACTGGCCTGGTTTACATCTTGTAAGTAACACTGGAGGTCTAGGGAACTGCACATAATCTTGGAGTTAAATTACCACTCTTCCACACACTGCCCTGGTTTCCTGAGAGATGAACACATGGTTTTCACCATACTTTCTTTCTGTTTTTCTAAATAATTTACAACATTCGGTCTCCAGTCATGTACAACACAAGTAGTTATTTCATTCTTACCTGCAGATCATTGTGCCAGCACATAAATGGAACTCACATATTCAGACCCATAATGTTATCTGGGAAGACCTGGATTCTCCTGAACAGCAGCCGCATACCATGTACGTAGAATCAAATACACTCACCCCTCCTGCACCCACTGAAACACACATTGTGCACACAATTAAAGATTTTACAAGAACTTATTAAAGATGAACAGATGGCTAGTAATAATTAGGCCATGCTCCTCACTACGCACACATTCTACTTGCCTCCAAGCTGCCTCTGATACGCAGATTGGTCGTCAGTCCGTTTCAGTGCCTATACCTACAAATTCCCTATACTCAACAAGCAGTCCCAACATTCCAGTATATTGTAATAATGTTATGTTGGCAACTCTCAGATACTGAAATATAATGTTAGAGTTGGCAACATCATAGTAAACAATTTAAGAACTAGGTTATGTCTTGTTACCTAAGTGATGTTTACTGTTATGTGTAACTATAGTTACGTGTGTAACAACAGTATATTTATATTGTTAAGTGTTACTATGGTTATAAGCCTGTATGTGTATATAAGGCGTACTTCTGTATCAAATAGCTCAGTCTTAATAAAGCAGGAGTAGAGTGAACACTGATTCTCACTTATCATTCGATCCAGGTGAAGTAACAAAAATAACAAATAACACGTAACCTGTATCATATAACAGATCCCATCTTACCTCTCAATTATCTGTCACTATCATCTAGAGCTACATTCTTCATTTAAAGGAGCAGGTAATGTCGGTGTACACCCAAGGCGTACTCTTCAGTTGAAGCATCGCCTCACTGCACATTCTGGCACAGCTCGGTTAGATTAACTGGTGCATCATATCCCTATGTATCCAAGAGCGATTCTATGTTTCCAGATATCTCACATATCTAAGTATTTCTAATACTTATAAACCTTCACATTCCCAAAAATCTCCAACCTCACACACTTTACACAATATCCCCACATTCAAACTTTAATATTCCTCAAAACTGTCCAACTTCTATAACGCAGAGAACCATTCCTATGATTTACCAACTTATGGAAAATAATTCCACCCTCAAACATCACCTTCGTCCCGGCATTCTGGGCCACTTGTCTACACTAGTCATTTTTTAAATTTGTATTGTAAGATGCCCATAACTCTTCGGATATGATATTGCTCTGTTATTGACAATGTTGATATGTATTTTGTTATGATAAGAAGTTGCAGTCCGAGTGTTATATGCATGCTGTGTTTAGTTATAGCAATTTATCATCAGTTATTGCAATAATGGTTGTGGATGTTGTAATATCTTAATAACGTAGTCCTATGGATTGATTTTATTGTACTCGTAACTAGGGCTTGGACGTGTTCTATATCTGGTTGCGCCATTGCCAAATGTAGATTTGATGAACAAAAATAAATTGAATTGAATTGAATTGAACATCGACTTCTAGAAGGTTAGGTTGGGCGAGTTTACACCACCGTCACACAGTTTTCGCGGCTGTCAAGAGATGAACACGAGCAGTCTTTCTGTGTTTTCGACAGTATATCTTATACTTTACCTTCTGTGGCTTTCATCATGTAAAAACGTAATGTACCGCTTACCAACATACTTACGTTTCATCATCAACCTACGCCCCCTGAAACGTACGTTCGTACGTACGTCACGACCGGTCACGACCGGGCACGACGGATGCGGTTCAGTACGAATCCTTCCGACTAATGCCGAATATGTACCCATCACGACGATCACGACGATCACGACACTAAGAACGTAACAACATTTGTTCAAAATGGCGATCCCAGAAGGGAGTAGTGAGCTGCCGAACTTAAAAATTGAAATAGAGAACGATCTCGATGAAGCAATGGAAATTGACAATGATATCAACGCAGAGGACAAAATATCTAAAGACGATGGTCCGGAAGAAGGCGAATTGAGTGACTCCAAAGATAATGACACGGAAGTGAAAACTTCTGTGTTTGGTCTTGCTATGTCAACATCCACTGTTCCAACCTGGGTAACGTAAATTATTTCGCATACAATTTCATAGTGCTTTTCAGGTGATGGAGCATGTTTCGTTTTATATATATGTACGTATACTGTTTCTGTAGGACCGGGAGAAACGTTATGAAAATAAAGGCGGTGCATTTGTGACGGGTGTTGATATCTTTGCAAAGGAAGAACAAATGAAACTAGGTGAACGAGCAAAGAGATTTGGTCTGGATCCTTCGGATGCAAAACCCGTAACTGAACAACAAATTACTGAGTTGTATAAAAGGTAGTATACAACATTTTGAATCATATATTATGGCTTTAAAGTTTTAATAAATGAAAACGTACAGTCTTTTATTAAGAACATGTTGCAGTTTGGGAATGAAGGATGAAGAAGGTACTGAAAAGCATTTCCGTCTGAACACATTGCATGTAAGAGGTACGGAAAACATGAGCACCCAGGACATTTTTAATTACTTCAAAGATTATGGGCCAGCTTCCATCGAATGGATTAACGATTACTCATGTATGTTTTGTATATGCATATATGTTAGTAGACAATGAAAAGTTCATTTCTGAGGTTGTCTGATGTGCACTTTGTTTTCTTTCAGGTAATGTAGTGTGGATTGATAATTTGTCTGCGGCCAGAGCAATGATTGGACTCTCTACACATGTTAAAGGCTTGGATGAATTTCATTCTAAGGCCAATCCATTTCTTAAGGAAGGGGAAAGGGAAAAGGAAAGTGATAAAGAAAATGAAAAGGAGGAGGTAGTAGTTGTGCAAGAAATTGAGGAGCCAGATGGAGATGATATTATCATGGTCATGGAAAGAAGCAGACCTGTATGTACACATGGAAGATGATTTTATGAATACAGATACAACTGAAATGAAGCATGGCTAAATTAATGTTACTAAATATCTGTTTCAGTTCACAAAAGAACCTCACATTAATGTGGACAGTGATGAGGTTCATGCATCTGATATTCCAATTCCAATTCCACCTGGAAAATGGAGGAAGGGCACATCACATCCAAAAGCCAAGTGTATTTTGTTAAGGTTTTCAACTCGGACAGATAAGAAACAGCCACAAGCTGAAAAGATGAGTGAATATTATAAAAAATATGGCAACCCTAATTATGGAGGTAAATCATTTGTTGTGCATTTGTGTAAGTTTTTAACTTGTCAGCCCGTAATAATTTCCATGCTTATCTTGAATATAGTAACACCTGAGTGGCTGCAAAACTGCCACGGTGTGCTTTGTACAGTTTGACAATACTCAAACAAAATTCAGTTTACCCCCAAACAAAAGCTAGAAATAGCATGTGCATAATTTATGGAATGTTTTCTTATGTGATTTGGTTAATTGTAGGAATAAAGGGTCTAATTACATCATCCAGAAAACGACGATATCAGTGGCATGAACATAATATTAAAGTCTTTGAAGATGATAAAGGTGATGAAAGAGACTTCAGTGAAGTTCTGAGTGATGGAAAGAACCCATGGGGTAATTTGGCAAAATCATGGAGCAAGCTAGACAGAAACCGTAGTAGGAGAAAATCAGGTAAAATGAACTTGAAAGTTTTGTTTTGACCTTTATGTAGGAACAGAGATACTCTTAATTGTAAATAGTATATCAGTATTTTTGATATGGAGTCACCAGTTGCCAATATCCTGTATTGCAGTTATGAATCTTCATGTAGTGGGAAACAAATTACATTATATTGAGGCTCTTTAGGTTAGAAACCTTGCTTATTGTTCCAAGGAGTGTCTTAGCGCAGTATTGTGTTTTGCTATTTAAAAGATTAAAAGTTCTGCAAGTCAAAATGTAGGTTAAGTTGACACATTGAGACAGACTACCTTTGCATGCTTGTCATATAATGCCCTTGAATTATGATGATTAGTTGCAGTATTAAGATATCCAAATTTTTTTTGTGGTATGTACAACAGTGTACAATATCTTATGTCTGCAGACTCTCACGATGTGATAAAGGCATCTCGACCCAGGGCATTTCCTACTACACAGCCTAGCTATGATGAACATGAAGGCAGGTCCATTCTCCACCGAATTGGAACAGTGACAGCAGCTCCAGACCGTGCTTCAGATTCAGAAGAGGCTTCTAACTCATTTGAAAGTGATGAGGAATCAGAATGGACAAAGCGAAGCAAAGTTCCTCGTATGAGAATGTATGCTGATGAGGAAGAGGTTCGCATAGAGCGCCGTAAAGCACAAGTACAAGCTCAGTCAAGAAGAAAAAAGGAGAGGGATATGAGGAACAGTCATGAAGATCAGGAGAGAAGAAGAAGCAATAGTGCTCACAAAGAGAGTTCCAGGTCACATTCTCGAAACAAAGACAGTAAACACAGGAAAAGTAGAACATTTGAAAGCTTTGATAAAGATACTACATCCAAGACTCAAGATGATCTAAGGAGTAGGTTAGATAGGGATGGGAAAAGTAAAGCTAGAGGAGGTACTAGTGTTGTTACTTCAACTGTGTGGGATAGACTGAACCACCACCAATCAGGTGATACAATTGATTGGGAACAAGAATCCAGTGGTAGTGATTTGGATGTGAGTGATCTCCAAAATAATGATCATGGTAGTTACGCTGATCTGAGAGGCTCTCTGTTACAGGCAAAAAAGAACAGTTCAAAATTTGGAGGAGGAGACCTGAGATCAAAGCTCAACCAGAAGAAGACTATGAGGGAGCACACTCCAATGCAGAAATCGCCATTACGTATTGAAATTGATAACGATGAATATTATAGGCTTATTGGCAGTGATCAGGAATAAACACAATATCTTTTGTAATTGTAACACAGATCTTTAGAGCACATTATTCAAGAACTTGAAATGGTGAATATGCACAACTACTGTGATTGGTTTAATATGGGTGTAGTTTCTTTTTACAATTTTATCTGCGTAATGAAAATATACTATATGTAATTTTCCTGAATTATAACAGTTGCAATAAGAAGCATCTGAATTCCCAAGTAATACATTACATTGTTCTGATATTTTGGCTTAACACTTTTACTTTATCTTACTTCAGTCATATGTGTTTTTTCTGCCTTTTCTTTCTGATGGTTGTGCTAATCCTGAGCTATTTCCATTTATATGCACTGATCACATCACTTCAGTTGTTCATACTGATATTTTGTGCAATGGCTCTTGTCACTTGTGAGCTTGAGCCAAGATAAAAGTTTTTCATAGTCAAAATTCAAATGGCAGAAGTACTGTAAGCAATATGGTCCATACCTCACTACAGTAAAAGCCCTGTACAAAAACCATTTTAAAAATTGAACAATGTGATCAATACATTATAGCACTCATTACCACTATATATAGTAGTAATTCTCAAACTTCATTCCATGAAACCCTGTTGGTAATATACGAAGGTCGTACTGAAAGTCATGAGCAACAATTTTTTGTAAAGTAACATGCTTTATTATTGACAAACCAAATACACCACCTCAGTCTACAGACTGTTCTTTATTTTTCCACAAAATCACCATTTCTCCCAGCGTTCTGGGAGTTTGAAAATTCCCCTTCTGTAAAATTCTGTTCCAGCCATCCGAAGATACTGACGCACTACTTTCTGAATTGCCTCCCTTGTCTCAAAATGTTGTCCACACAGCTGATCCTTCACAAATCCGAAAAGATGGTAGTCAGAGAGTGCCATATCAGAGCTATAGGAGGGGTGTGGAAGAACTTCCCACCCCATCTTTGCAATTGCTTCCAATGTGAAGCGAGCATTGTCATGCAGGATGACGATGTTTCGTCCTGGGCGTTTATCACGCAATGCACGACGGAGCTTGTGCAATGTCTGGACATAACGAGCAGCATTGATGATTTGCCCAGGTTCCAGGAATTCGGCCAGAATAAACCCCTCTGCATCCCACAAGACTGTGCCCATCACCTTCACAGCTGATGGCACTGTCTTTGCCTTCTTTTTTGATGGAGAATGCAAATGGTGCCATTCCATACTCTTGCCATTTCGTTTCAGGCTCAAAATAGTGAAACCAGCTTTCGTCACCTGTCACGATACAGAGCAAAAGATCATCGCCTTTGTGTCGATCTCTCTGCAGCAGTTGTGAGGTGATGGCTTTTCGCTGACCTTTGTGGTCTTCGGTCAATAACTGCAGGACCCAACGAGCACAAACTTTCCTGTAGTGCACTGTGCCCTATTCCAATTTTTCGGGCTATTGTGTCCACAGTCACGCCTGTCATCTTGAATGATCTCATCCACTCTTTCCCTGTTGTGTTCAGTTGAGGCTGTTCGAGGACGACTGCTCCGAGGCTCGTCTTTGATGCTGGTGTTCCCATCTTCGAACACTGCTCGCACCCGTGCACAAACTTCCATAAGCACGCTGAAGTCTCTGGTAAATTTGTACAGCATGGATTTCCTCTTTCACAAGAAATTCGATGACAGCACTCTGGTGAAATGACATATCGTCAGTGATTTTGTTAGGAGTGATACTGGTCGCAAGACACTCAAGGTTAACACAACAGCTGGTTCCACCTACCACCGTACTCTTTTGTCTGCTGTTCCCAAGGTGCTCATGACTTTCGGTACAACCTACGTAACATATTTGCAGAATCCTGGCAATCATACCATTTTACCCTGAATATATATGTACACACACATGCACATGAATTCCATCTACTCTACAAACCAGGGTACCATACCTTCTGTAAGCTACCTCTTAGAAAAAAAGCCCTATGTATGTCTGTTTTAATTTCCCACTGATATAACAATACCATATATCTGAAAACATTATTAGAACTTTTTAATGACACAATGGTCTACATCACTGACAGTGACACAGACGGAACAAAAAAAAAAGTAAAGTCCCTGAGCTTAACTAAATAAGCACTACATCATGAAGACACGGAGTGGATTGGATGTATAGATCCATGTTTCCTTGACCTCGATACTACATGAAAGTGAGTGGTCAGCTCCGTGCCCTGGCCACTTTGCCTCTAGGGAAAGAGCCTCTCGTACCTACTGGATAGGAGGCTGGGCATGCTCCAGAGTTGGTCTGGGTGTCATGGAAAAGTGAAAATTCTTGCCACCAGTGGGACACGAATGCCATCCCCTTGGTTGTCCAGCCTGAAGCCAGTCGCTATACTGATTGCGCTATCCCAGCTCTTAGTAGATGAAGTGTACCTTATAAATAGAGCCCATAAACTTAAGATTCATATAAACTAAAATTTATCAGTGTCAAAACTAAATTAAATGTATGAGTTACTGTACTTACCTAACAACTGCCTCAAACTTTGGGATAGTACTAAAAGTGCTAAGTTCACATCACATTCTGTGTTCTGCTTCACCAATATTTTATTGCTGCAGATTTTGAAAATTCCANCCACGATAAGAAGCCATAAATCTTAACCTCGAGCCCACACATACAAAAATCTCATTCACGACTTCTCTGAACCAAATATCTGCTTCATGATGTCATGGGTGGCTAACATATTGCGATGTTTCAAAATCGTTACAAACACAATGGTTTGACTGCAATGAATGAACGAATGACTGATCTGGCAACACTATATTCCGAGAATTAACTGCTGTGTTTATCTAACACATTAGGCAGCGAGGAAATTCAGACGGCTACAGTCGTGCATACCGACATGTCCCATACGATAAATAAGCTTCAACAAGAGATAACATTGTATGTGAGGTGGCCACGAAGGACTTACACTGCTAAAACGCATGGTGCAGAAAATGTATGAATTTCGGGAATCAGTGTAAAAATTTTTTACAGATAGTAAAATCTGTAAATTAGAATATCTGATTCTATATTCTTTCTACATTAAAGGAGCGTTCATTTCGTTCGTTTATTATAAAAAATGTAGAAATTACACCATTTTTAGAAACATGCTTACAATTTCATTGCTCTAGAAGGGCGGGCATTTAAATAAACTCCGTCCAGCTGCCCCTACCGGAAATTAAATGGCCCGTCCGATAAAGGTTAAAAGAAATACATAAGTGAAGAGAGTCGCCCCCCCATTTTACTGCAGGACTTTAAGTTTCCGGAACATTTACTTCAGACTTACCCAGACATTTAATGTTTATGATTTTGCCTTTTGGTTTTGTTTGAAATGTCTTAATAGTTATTTTGTTGTTGAGTCATGCTTTCAAGAACGATTTCATGGATTTCAGTCTCTTAAGAACTGCCACTTCTGATGTAAAATACTGTTTCTGCACATTATCATCATTATGTCTGAACAATCTTCCATCTACAAGTACCTTAGTCACTTCTATCATTTTAGTCAACAGTGTGAAGATTTCTGTCTCAGTATGTTGATATATTCAGTAATACTCTGTGGCCTGGGGATCAGCTCATCACATAATCTGCATGAAGAAAACCGAAGTGCAGATATGTACAATTCTAGAGCCAACATTAAATCTATTAAGATTGGCTGCTAATTTAACTCCAGATAAAATATACTGTGCACATTCTAAAAAAAATACCTTGTGATGCAATGACTCGAGTCTTCTCAAGTTGAAATGGAATTACTGTTGTCATACGTTAAGTAAAGAATTAAGCTTGTTCTTTTGCAAATACCTTAAATATAAGTTAGTCCCCTGGAGTAATACACAGTTTGATAACAAGCTATTTCTGATGGGAATAATAATAGTATCTGCAAACTTGGTGATGGCACTGAAATGTTGTGCTTATGTAGGTTTTATGTTTTAGCAATAAGAGGCATAACACATTTCCATTATAAAAGCTTTCAAGAGACTGCACACCAGTGGAGAACAAATACAAAACCACAATCACACTTCAGTTATACAGCCACCAAGTTTATTGCCATGGTTAGTATCATGCAGGCTATTCCTATTCTACATTCAAAATAGCTATGTGGGGCAATCCAAAAGTTTCCGAAATTTGAATTTTGTGCGCGAATAGTTATGAGTACATCGAAATACCGCTAGGTGTCTCCTCACACATCCTTGAATCAGTGTGGCAAGCGGCATCAAGTTGAGTGGTTGGGTTTATTGTTGGTGAATGTATTTCCATTGTTGTGTTTCCGTGAGTTTGCAGTTTTGCGATGGCTGACCTGAGAGAGCAGCGTGTCTTTATAAAGTTTTGTTTCAAACTTGGGAAAACCGCTGCAGAAACGCACCAAATGTTGAAGCAAGCTTTTGGTGAAAACAGTTTAAGCCAGACACAAACTTACAACTGGTATAAGCATTTTAAAAGTGGCTGAACATTGACTGATGATGACGATCGTTTGGGACGGCCGTCAATGGGCAAAACACCAGAAAATGTCGCGAAAGTTAGGGATCTGATTCTGCAAGATTGTAGACTGACCATCCAAGACCTCTGTAACACCTTGGGACTAAGTTATGGTACATGTCAACGAATTTTGTCAGAGGAACTGAACATGAGGATTGCAGCGAAGTTTGTGCTACGACTGCTGCAAAAGGAACAGAAGCAGCATCGCTTGGAAGTCTGCAGGGAACTTCAGCAACAGCTTCAAAAGGATCCAAACTTTCTTTTGAAGGTTGTCACTGGTGACGAAAGTTGGGTTTATGGCTACGACCCTGAAAGCAAGCAGCAATCGTCGCAATGGAAGAGCCCTTCTTCACCTCGGCCAAAAAAAGCTCGACAAGTCAAGAGCAACATTAAGTCCATGTTGATCTGTTTTTTTTTATATTGACGGGTTATTCATAAGGAGTTCGTCCCTACTGGTCAGACAGTCAATAAAGAGTTCTATTGTGATGTTCTAAGGCGTTTGAGCGAGAACATGAGGAGAAAACGTCCAGAGAAGTGGCGCATGAATGACTGGGTACTCCACCATGACAACGCATGACCGCATACGGCTTACATTGTGCAGGAATTTTTTGCTAAAAACAAGATGGCAGTTGTTCCCCACCCACCGTACTCGCCAGACTTAGCTAACTTCCAGGGCGCATTTGAAAAGTGGCAGAAACGCTGGGATCGGTGTATGCGCTCCCAAGGGGACTACTTTGAAGGTGATGGTGCAGAATAAGATCTAGGTA